CTCACAATCACACACACACACAATCACACGCACAGAAGAGTCTGATCCTACTCTGTTCTGTTTCTATTGTTTCTGTGCTGCTCTTTGTCTTCACCGGGGTTTGTGAAAATTTCTCTGTAAAACTGCACTGAAACATAACTGCATTTTCTATTCTATTCTATTCTATTCTATTCTATTCTATTCTATTATTTGTTGTATTCTCTTCTATTCTCTTTTTCTATTCTATTCTATTCTATTCTATTCTATTATTTGTTGTATTCTCTTCTATTCTCTTCAGTAGGCTACACTGTATAGTGATACCTAACAATTAAAGAATCTACACCTGGAAGCAGATTTGAATGAGTAAATCTCTCTTTTCTGCTGTATTTGAGAATTCTGTTTCTGATGTCCGTCCCTTGAACGAATTCATGTAACTGAAGCGAATCAAGCTCCCCCAGATCATCTACTCCAGCACAAGCAGCACTAGAACTCACGGAGCAGCAGCAGGTCCATGATGAAGCGGCGCTCCTGCAGGACAATGTGCGGAGGATTCCAGAGGCGTGAGCCGCAGAGGACGGACGGTCCGCTCCCGTGTCTGCCCGAGCCGCACTGATCAGCTCTGAAGCAGCTCCTCCCCGCGACACTATCACGACACGACGCTCTCAGTCCTTCAGTGATTCCCGCAGAAGAAGCCACAGCTGTTTTCACCCCGGGAAAAAAAAAATCCTTGCCTGGGACTCCGGGGTAAGTTGTCACATGATCGGTTTAAATGCGTCTTAAAATAGAATCATTTTGAGCGATACATCAACACAATAAAGCACACTTAAATGAAGACAAGTATTTTGTATTTTTGGAAATTCATAAACGTGTTTTCATTTTAAACAATTTATTAATTACACTTTCGGAGAGAGATTTGTATGTCAGCTTTTACATTGTTACTGTTTCGTGAATTTTTCCATAAATTCATAATTTAATGTTTGAAGTTAATTTCAGAGTCAGGTTTCACTTTGACAACTTACCCCGTATAGTGTCACAACATTCTTCACTATAGGGGGAGTTAAAAACATTCCTGGTCAATAACAGTGTGAATATTCAATAGCCTTTTTGTGGACTTAAAAGACATAAACCCACTGTGACAACTAGCCCCAGTCTGCACTAACACAAATGACTAGTATTCAAAACACTGTTAAAACTGAAAAATAAATATATAAACACATAACTAACTACATTTAATAGAATTAAAAATAAAACTATTTTTGAAATGACATGACAGGTAAACACAAGAGATGTGAAACAGTCAGTTTCATAGATGGGATCTTTCTAAGCTGCAGGTCAGTGGCAGAGAAACGTGGGGAATGACCCACAAATGTTCATGTCTTAAACATCATCACACACCGTTGTGAAAAATGCTTCGGGTGACAGTGTCTGCTAAATGAACAAATGAGTGATTTGGTCCAAGCCCTTATATGGTTTGTTGGCACTGCACCCATTGAAGCTGCACTAGTCAGTAGGTCAGTGCTCGTCGCAGACTGCGGTTGAAGCGTGCTCTGCAGCACAGACTCAGACATTTGGAGCAGCTTTGAACTGAAAGTCAAACTCACACTTGACCGCGCTGATGCTGTCGATGCTCGGCTTGCTCCCGACTCGAGGGTGATTGTTTCCCAGGGGAAAAGTCTCTGACCTTGGGATGCAGGGCGCGGGCGCTTCTGGAGCCTCCAGCGACTCTCTGCTGCAGCTCTTGAGCTCTGGGAAGGTGAATCTCCTCAACAGCCTCCCGCTGAAGGCGCTCAGAGATCTGGAGGTGCGCTTTGCGGTCACCGCGGTTTTCTGCACGGTTTTGCGCAAAGGCTTGAGACGCTCCGTAGCCGCCAGAGTGCTAGTGGGTAAACTGCACCTCTTCTGATAGTAACTGTCATCAAACCTTTTGATGGGCAAGTCAAACGCCAGTTTCTTGGCTTTGTCGAGCTCTACTTCGGCGTTGTTTTTGCTGAAAGGATTTAATAAAATGCCAAGAGGACCAGAAGCGTGCGCACAACTCAAGGGCATTTTAGAGGGTCTGGGTGAGTAAAACAACGGAGGCAGGTGATTGTTCAGGCAGGTGGATGGATGTTCTCCGTGTTTGAGCTGCTGAGGAGGTTTTGGGGTTAAAACACCAGAGAACATCTGGCCTTGTGGTGATAATGGCGATGAAGCATCACCTTCCTCAATGCAGTCCATCGACTGGATTCTCCTCCGCACACTGAGGGATCGTTTACGGGTTGAACTGATGGGAGGCCGCAGCGCATCTTCGGGGGAAGCTCTTGTTGGATGGATCTGGAGAGGCTTGACCTCATGTTCATCTTCGCTGATGTTCACAGTGGAGAGTTTCTCAGCGAGTGCGTCACCATCGTGAACCCTCCTGGAGTTACTCAGCAGCGCCTGCAAGCAGTCAGTGTGTCTGAGATACCTGGCCACCTCCACTGCAGAGTTGCCCACCTTGTTTTGCCGCTCGATCTGGAGACCCAGCCTTTTGAAAGCGCGCACCAGGAACTCCACAACGGCCGAGCGTCCAGCCGCAGCGGCGTACATGAGCGCGGTGTTCCCCCAGGCGTCCACTGCCTCGGGATCCGCGCCGGTCTTCACCAGGATCTTCACCGCGTCCAGGTGTCCCATCTCGCAGGCGTAGCTCAGCGGCGTGCGGCCGCTCTCATCCGGGAGATTCACGCTTGCGCCCCTCTGCAGCAGAAGATTCACGAACCTGCATCTCGCACCCGAGTCCTGGAGAAGCACGGCGGAGATGAGCGGCGTCTGCTTCCCTTCGCTCTCGGAGTCGATGATTTTCCCATCCAGAGCGTCTAAGACGAACCTGGCGAGGTGGAGCTTGTCGTTGGAGATGGCGTCCAGGAGGATTCTGGAGTCGGTTTTGGAGCAGCACCTGTCCGAGAGTCTCAGCATGCTTCCTCAGTCACAGTCTCTCCGCGGCTGATGGAGATCTCCGCGCGCTTTATACCGCTGCGCTGCGTGTTTCCACGACAACATGAATCTCATCATCACACTTTATTGTTCGTAAGTGGATGCATTAATGTGCTGATTGTAATAAGGGCTTCAGAGAAACACCCGACTGAACCTTATGAATAAATGTGCCGGTTACTGCGTGTGATTGCTGACGGGACCGCTGCGGTTCCTCTGCTGAGAGACTGAAACGACTTTCTTCACGGATTCATGGCGAAACACACATTGAACATTACTTTCAGTGAAGGTGCTGTAGGCTATTGTTTGTCGCTACTATCTGACAGATATCAGTGAAGTCTAGCTCTGTTTGAGTTGTGCAGATGTGTAAAATACTACATACTCAACAGAGGAGAACACTTACAGTCCCTTACGAAAATTAACCACGGTTTCACTACAAAGGAAAACATGCTTACAATAGTTAAACCACGGTAACTACAAATTATCCATGGTTTTACACTAACCTTAGTTTAACCATGGTATTTGTAGTAAAACTGTGGTTATACAAATGGTAATCAATACGCCAAAAATCATAGTTACTACACTTTTACTTTATCAGAATCAATCAGAAATCACAGCCAATCAGAAGCACGTGTGGGCGGGCCTTCTAAGTACATCATTTTAATGATACACTTTTTATGATGGATGGATGCACTTTATTGTACTTCTTTTGGACTATTGAAAAATAACGCATTCACTGCCATTATAAAGCTTGGAAGAGCCATATATATATATTTTTTTTTAATATAACTCCGATTGGATTCGTCTGAAAGAAGAAAATCATATACACCTATATGACACCTATCTATGTGAAATCCAGCTAGCAGGAAACACAAATTAACGAAGTAATATTTTCCTATATTCTCTTTCGAGCAGTCAAACAATCCACAGAAAACATCTTTAAAACAGAAAGAAAAGTCACTTACAAAATGAGATCAGATGAACATGAATAAATCTGACCAGAATGTGTCTGTGTACAAAACAAGTGACTGAATCTTCCTCAGAAGAGACAAAAACAGCAGCTCACGTCAGTGTCTGACTTATATTACAATCACGTCCAGAAGCTTTTGGTGAAATGAACTTATTAACCTGTTGCTTGACCTGTTCATATTTCAGGAGAGAACTAGTTTCCAAAGTCAGACGTCGCTTATGATTTTCAAGGCTGTAGAGTTTAGTAGAGACATCAACCCTTTTTTAAATAAAGCATATCATCAATACCTGAGATTAAAGCCCGTCCCTAAAAGATAATATCCCCTGCACGGTGAAAAACAGCCCCTTTAAAGCTTTACGAACAGACAGCAACCGTTTTCATTTAACACCTGGGATAGTTTATTGGTACACATACTATAAAACAGTATTAAAGTAGCAGGATAACAACAGTATTTTTTGAGTATTTTCATTGCTAGAAGTTTGACAAATACGATATATATATATATATATTTATAAATACAAAAGCACTCACAGCATGATCCATTGAGAAGCTACAGAAAGCTCAGGAGACAAACGAATAGAAACGGATGAAATTCAGAGCGCGACAGTTCTGCAAAAATAATCTGCTTTTCCCACAAACTATAATATTAGAGCAAAGGTCTACGACAGAAAACATTCAGCTAGTGCAAAAAGCTTCCAAGAAACCAAACGTAGTCTTAAACTACTCACTATATTTATATATGTATCTTTATATAAATAATCCCTTATTTTGGCATTTATCATGTAA